TTTAACAATATTTAATAAATTAATTACCATTTTAGCTGTATAACATTAAAAAACTAAATATGCAACAAGTATTTTGTAATGTTGAAACTGAGCTTCGTTGTATCTGGATAATGACCCCATCTCCATCAGGATTTCACCCAGTTTCCCCTGATCCTTTCAGTGAATGCTGAAATCGCCCCATGTTTTGCTTTTGAACATAAATGCAACTAATGTAACTTCACTGTGCACAGTGATTTTTTCCTTCACTGGAGCGTATTTTCTTAACAATTCTGGCCAAAAAATGTTAACCACCTGTATTGGTAATTCAACTTGTTTATGGGTTAGGACAAAGATTCCAAAATTTAAGAAACATGCACAGAACATGAACAGAATACATTTCTCTTCATAGTACATGACACATACAGTTTTTAACTGTTTTTGATGTTAAACTAAAAAAATTCAACTGGACAATGAGTTATTTGTCATTCAAGTATATCAAAAAATCAGCTAAAGGGAAGTGGAAGTTTTAACAAGACTGAATAGAATACAAGGTCCTAGATTTCCTTAATTTTTTTATACAAAAGTAATACAACCAATTAGGGCAATGAAGATTCCAGTCAATTAATAAATGCATTGATCTATACATATGATGAATGAATGGTTGTATTGTTAATTGTTGGGAATGTTCTACTTGTAATAAGAAGTTTTGTTATAGTTTTATCTTGTGATTACTGAATGGTATTTGTTCTATGGTTTCCAAAGCAGATTTTTAATAACAAAGAGCAGAACAGTGTACTTTCACATATTAGAATTTTCAAATACGGATTTTCATTTTTCTACGAGTTAAATTGTCAAAAGAAATTTTCCAATGTAAAAGTTACTAGCCAAGACCTTGCACAGCAGTGAATTTTCAAGCACACACAATAAGAATAGAGCCCCTGACATAGAATATGACTTCAAAATTATAATTAAGTAGGCCACAAATGTAGAGGTCACATTAACGGTGCAGAATCCATTCAGTAAAAATTTGAAAGAATAGTAATTAAGTTGATTTAATTAAATATGGATAAAGAAAGGAGAAGGAGAACTATAGAGTATCACAATATGAACATTCATAGACCTCTAAAGAAAACGAAATTGTCTCATTGGGCAGCTTCAAAACCATACGCTATCAATGACAATGTACAAAAATAAACCTGAATATCTGGATCTCTTATACTGAAATATAAGAGATCATTTAAAACATATTTATTACTTGAATATTCTTACCAACATGCCTAAAGGATTTCAAAAAAAGATCTCCCAATTTCCAAATACTTTATTTTTATTCAATTTATTTGTATTGTGTGATCATGAAGTTTTTTAAGTTATTAAAAATGCCTAGATCCAGGGGGGGGGTAATTTTTTTTCCACACATTTTTAAAACTCGCATAAAAATTTGAGTTATGCGATTCAAAACACTACAGTCTGATTTTTTGTAAGAAATAGAATGAATTTTATGGTTCCATTATCACTGTCAAGTTAGTAACCGATGCAACAAAATTACAGTTAGAAACAAGAGGGGACACTAAATGACCCTCTCTTTGTCCAACTTGTACCCGTCTTTTAATAGAAATCACAGAATTATTACTAAACAATGAAGCTTATTTTTCAAATGAAATTTATTTTCTATTGTTGAAGACTAAAATATTTCCAACTACTTTTAGTAAGTAGTATTGGTCTGTCTTTTCTAATAGCAGGGTGCAGTAACAAAATTAGTAAATCAAAATCAGATTTATAACGTGAACTAGATGATACTTTTGAAGAGAATAATTATAAAAATGACCTCTGTAATTGTAATGCAAGTGAAAATGATTGAAATAAAAATGTTTATGTAAATATAGCCTGTAATGTAATGATGGTGGACATTTCTTAACTCTCCCTTGGTACAGCGAAGTTGTAGGAAAAACGTTGGTTAATGCAGGGTTAAGTTGGAAATGAGCCTTGTAATTGTTCTAACATCAGTAAAAAATAGAAATTGCTACCGACTTACGGACAATAATATTTGTTTTTAATAAGTTCCAACACCAAATATATTGAGTAAAGGTATTTGGAATTCCCCACTTCGGTAGGTCATAGATAAGCTATAATATGATAAGCACATAATACAAGCTTTGAAGCTCCACTTTAGGTCATTTGTTACAAACTACAAAGCTTCACTGTAGTTTTATATTACCTTCCAAAACATCCATGTAATGCATACAACAGCATTAAACTTGGAAGGTGAAAGAGATTCTTAATTTAACATTTGAACTAATCATTTATTGAAAGGTTCATTCAATTACATAATACTTTGTTTAATATTCACTGAAGAAAAACGGGTATGGGAAAAATTACTATTATTTATTTATTAATGTTAGAGTTAAACCTTTTTTTTTATTCCTCAACTAGTGGTGATTGTCAGTTACTACAATTATAGGTTGAAAATTTCCAATTATTTAGGACAATATTTAGGTTAATTATATTTAACCATTCATGTAGGAGTTACAATTTCACACAGTTTCATGGTCAAAACACACTCACACCTTCAGGTTTAGGCAGACATAGTAAAATGAACTCTACCTCATATTTTTTTCATTATTTAGAGCTTTCTCTTCTGCTGTGATGAAGTATGCAAATTGTCTAATGTCTAGTTGCTTGAAATAGCTGTTTTCCACCAATTGTTCTCCTCAGACATGACCTGTCTCACAATTTTCAGATTTTCATCATAATTTTGTTCACCAAAGTCATTTTTTTCTTCCTACTAACAAATAAACTACTAAAACAAAGGTGTCTCTACCTACCTGGGCTGATTGTTTTACACTCACGAAAATCTAATTGATCCTTTAAATGTTTGTAAAACATTTCAATCTTTTAAAAGTATTTTTAATTCATTTAAGTCTTAACTATAATAATAATAATAATAATAATAATAATAATAATAATAATAATAATATGCCTTTATTAATATGGCAAGGCTCGGGCCATCAGGCCCGCTCTTCCACCTGACCACTAACTATTTCATTTTAAAACTAGTATTGTAATAACTGTAGTACTATAATAACAGGATCGGTACACCCCTAAAGAGTGGTCATGTTTAGTACATGAAATGTTGTGAATTGCAAATCTTACATGAAAATTAAATATATATTTTTTCCATATTAATTGACTGTCATAAATAAATTGGAAATCTTTAACCTTCAATTAAAGTTGTGATCACAAGAATTCAATTTTCAAAAATTTATTTCAGAAATCCTAGTGTGATCATTGATGATGTGATCCTATTACATAATCTGAAGATTCACAAGTTCAAATACTGCAGTTATGTTCATTTACCTTTCCATTTACAAGAAAAGTGCATCACAAACAAAAATTATACATAAAATTACCCACTCACAGACTGAACAACCCAATGTATGTGATGGTACAACTGCAATTCACATGACTTTTTGAAGCAGTCTTCAAAAACATTCCTGTTGTGAGTGATAAATGCTTGTACATGTGTGACATTAATAAAAGCAAGACTGATTTTATACACATTTTATGTATCCTTTTTGGTAATACTGCACTGTTAAATCATGTTGGAGCATTTCACTGCCATTCACTATTTAATTTAAAGTTATTATTCATCCCAGCACTTTTTTACCAATCTGCCTTTTTATAAAGTGCCAGAAACTTTTAGTTATGTTTCAATACTCATTTGTCATAATACACTTTCTAAAAAGGAATTCTAAAATTGTTAATCTACTGAAACTAAAAATCAATTTTATTTATTAGCCTACCAATACTTCAACGTTCAACACTTGCTATGATTTATATCTTTAATGTTGAGTCTACATCAACTGTTGTTCTATTTAAAGGCGAAAAATTTGCAGTACTAATCATACAGTATAACTAGTGACTGCCTCTAGTGTGAATTTTCCAAGTTAAAATCTTATATTTATGCTTTGTATAAAAATTAATTTTAAATATATCATAGTTGTCCAGCTCATCCATTTTCGATCATAGAAAGTTGCATCATAAAGTATTAATTAAAATATATTAATAATTAAACTGATTAGGTCTTTACATTTTTGTTTCATTATAAAATTAATTTAATTTTCATCAATATGACGCACATTGCTGAAAAAAAGAGTGTAGAAGTACCACTTTTTTATTCTGAAGGTGCATTGAGACCATTAAAAACTGAAGTGTTTTTCTACAATTCCTCTGAAATATCCTAGAGGGATCTGGCTAGTAAATGAAAGAACCGACGAAGAACTGTGACAATTGACTTACCTTGCTCAAATTGATTGAGCTATTGATCACCAATGCAAAAGTCAACCACATGTTTTAATTGCACTAAAAAAACAAAATCTACATTTTCATAGAAATTTCTTAGAATCTTCTGGATGGACCGGCAAAAAAAAAAACCATAACCCCACTAGGAGACCTAGCCCCCTTGTGTGACCTTATTTGTATCAATTGGTGGATCGAAAGGAGTCTGAGAGATGAGCTGATGCATGGATGGATGTAAGTTATTCAATTATTAAAAGTAGCTTGCTTGGCTTTCTAGTATCAAATAGGAAAACTGGGATTTGAGTGTGTTATTCCTTATAAGGTATTTTCCATTTAATTTTAAAGATTGTTTTCCCTACTCTCTTTATTGCAATAATTAAATACGTCAAGATATTAAAAGATGTTAGGCAACACTGCTTGATTGCAGCAAACAATGCTTTTCTGAACGAATATGAGCCCATTTTGTCTTCTGATAAGCCCACAAAAATACATATCCCATATAATCATATAAAAGCATTTGCTTACTTCAATGATTTAATTACTGGCAATGTCATTGAAAAGCTACTTTAAATCTCAATCCACTAAAACAATGAACGTTTGCTAGAGACGACATACAATGGACAGCAGGTTACACTTTTACTTCAAAATGTATTCAAAAATGGATGGATTACACCTTGTTTTCACGTGAAAGCATCTCGAATTTGCATAAATCCATTAAATCTCACCTCAAAATATGCACTGCAAGCAGAGAGCACCACTTTATGGGCCTTTAAGTATTGACCATCTGCAGCCAGAGTACAGTCTACTAAAGTATTCCTTTTCAAAAGATTTTCAAAAACAGACACCAATGCACCATTGTGATCTTTCCAACTTAAAAGCAGTTGCTGAGGTGGCATTTTCAACCTGAAAAATATAAACCACTGTATTTACGTATTCAATTCAATTCAATAAGAACTTCAATAGATCAAAAAGCAGATCCTTTGCAATATGAATATTAAAGTATTATAAAGGAACTGGAAAAATAGGCATCAAAAATACGAAATTGAAAGAAAAATAAAGAACTAATGGGATTTTTCATGTGAAGCGACAAAACGTTACTAAATAAGCCGATCAAAAGAGGCAGTTATTCGGTGAAATACGACACAAAAAGAGTACTTTCACTACAAAACTGAAAATTTAAGAAAGGTTTACAAATTTCGAGTCCTACGAGCAGAAAGTTAACCAAAACTAAAGTGAAATTTGATTTTTGAACAGTTTTGCAAAGAGATGACACGATCCCACAACTCCCACTAACGTTCAAGATTTGTCCGTTAACAAATTGGATGAAAGATTCATTCGTTAACATAGTACCTACCAATAAAGTTTGTCGTAGCAGTTGAGTAGACGTCCTTAAAATCCACACTAGTTATCAAAATAGTTTCAGATTTGTATAGATCACAAGAAAAGTCGCCACTGATCACCCACTACAAATACTAGAATTCACACGCAGGACATTGATAAGTTCAGAACTAACTCTGAAATAGAATCACATTTCAAAAGAATGTTGACCATTTGCATATCTGTTTACAATCTTCGAGCGCTCTTCAATACTTCGGCGTAAATATGACAGATAAAACCCATTCCACACTAAAAAATACACACTCAAACAATGGAGTAGCCGTCTTCGTTCCGGTCGTTCCAGCCATAGAGAATGAGCGGTTCGACCGGGCACAGGTTCGATTAGCGCATGCGCAGAGTATGTGCGACTACGGCGCAAGCGTATAAGCGTATTATAACTGTGTATAATACAAGTGTAAATAATGTACAGTTGTGTAAAATGTAAATAGTAGTTTGAAGAATTAGTATAATTTTAGGTTTAAGATCTACGTTAGCGCCCCACCCACATAACTGTACAAATATAAATAAATGTCATATATACTGAACATTCCAGAAATTCACATCTTATATAAAATTTATAAAATAATGGACCGATTTTCTCTTCGTTGGCGTAGAACCAGAACATTAGTACACTCGGGACCGACGAAGTGACTTTAAATTTATTTTATTACGAACGCAACAGTGTATTTTATGTAAAGTATTCCAACAAAACCCGATAATTCCCTTAAAATGGTTCTTGAATTTAAAAATTAGATAATAATTCAAAATACTCTCAATCACTTTAATTAAGCAAACTTTACACTAAATAACCAACATATTTAAAGCAAAAATTGGAGGAGTTTTTGAGATTTTTTCACACAAAAAAAGGTTTACTCGAAAGTTCATGGCGTCATGGTTACTAAGGAGGTATTTGCAATTCTTCATGGTGTCGTGTGACGCGAAGGTTTTTTGTTTTGTTTTGTTTTTGGAGTAAAGTGAAGTAGTGCTAGTGGAAGTGCAGGTCAGCATATTCCGTTTAAAATAAGAAAATTATCTTATTGACCTATTAAAATTCAGTGACTCTTGAACGTCGAAATGGAGGAAAGGAGGGAACACTCATCCAGGGCCGGTTCACTCAATGTTAAAAGGCGGGGGACTAAGTTTGTTTCCTCACTCACCCGGACCTGTATATAAATCTAACACATGAGCGTAAGAAACAAATATGAATAGATAATACATTGGGACCACTTACTGTTTAAAGTTAAGAATTCATGATCCGCAGCAGTCTTCGGCATACGTAATGCACAGAAGGAATTAGCAATCTCCATCGGAAATTGAAAATGAATACATGGTTCGTTTTCGTTGTAGAATGCGCTCTGACTAGATGTTCATACATTGTTTTCTTTTTATCTAATTGAACATGATGTGTACCGTAAAAAATCTAATACAGAAACGGGGTATGATATTGTCGTTAGTCTTTACGAGCATAACTCACACTCTTTGGCACACGCGCACGAGGCATACTATCAAAATATAGCTAAAGAGGGGTTTAATAGAGATTATGTGGATGTCATAGTCTGGATAATGTATGCATTCTTTGAGGTGAATGATAGTTGTTTCTATGCCATAATACTGTCCTAAACTATCGAATATTCATACGTGTCTATTTCGCACCTATCTCCCATTACTTTTTTTTTGTATTGCGATGTAAGATGTGTTTTATAGTAAAGTACATGGACTCTAGAATCTTGGCATCGAGTTGTCTTAAGCTTACCTGTGGGTTGTGGTGTTTAGCATAACATGCTTTGCGCAAACACGCAAAACTGCGAACATTGGACGCGTAAAGGAAATAATATTGTGATCATCATTAAAGGGGTTTTACACGATCACAATAAATCTATTTGACTCTAGACTAACAGCGCATTTGCTGTTGTAATGCATGTCTTTAGTTATATAACTTATTAACTCCATTGTGGTAATAAATCAGACCACGTTTTTTTTGACAATGTTATAATAATTTGTTTCATAATGACTTACAAGTAAAAACTGGTTAAAAAAAAAATATCACCAGTTCCAGCTTCAGATACCCAGCAGAGGCCTTGAAAGCCATCAAACTAGCGCTGGTAAACCTACTGGACCAACAGCGAGGACACAAGACGACTGGCAAGACATACTCCTTTAGAACTCCGTGTTACAGAGTTCGTTGAGTTGCCACTGGGCAACATCACTGTACAATAATAAAGCTGGTGTTTTTTGTGCTATGTACATACGTTCAATTATTCAACCGAAAGCTCCATATGTGTATAGGTATTTCAATAAGGAAATATGGGTGTTGATGGTGGATTGTGGGATACTTATGGGCTGGAAAAGTAAAGTTTTGAGTTAATGGATTGACTGACCCAAGATAAACCAATCAAGGAATAATGTCTATTTTAGGAAAAGAGGAAAGAACATAATTAGATATATAGACTGGTGGCGCATACTTGTAGAGAAGATATAGAGTGAAGTTATTTTGTTATTTTTTAAAGTTAAGATTTGCCTAAAACCTTAGGGGGGAGAAACTGGGCCAAGTAAAAAATATTGTTATAATGTGCCTATTGTTGGAAGTGCTCCATCTTCCCACACCAGCAATGCAATTCGCATACAGAGTCTTGCATTTGTTGTTTTAATTCAATGGGCAAAGTTCCTCAGCAGTCTTTTAACCAGAACACTAGCATATTTTACCGGTATGTTTATTACTAACTACAAGACGAATCAAAAACTTGCCAAACATAAAAGTAGTATACGCTCATAATCTTATAATTTGGTCTTGTCATATTTCTCTTGATGTTTAGGAAGGACTTGTGACTGGTCTGACTCAAAATTAAATAGTAGATTGATAATCTAGGTATCAATAAAATTACAGACTTGTCTATTTTACGGTACATATATTAAGTCGTTAACAAAATGATAAGTAACCGGTCTTTAGGGTAAATGGATGTGGAATCGATAGGATAGATTATAATCAAACAACATGAATAACTTTCTTAGAAAAATGTTATTGGGATATTTAAAATCATTGGTATGAGTATTTTTGTTCAAATATACAAATATTAAGTTATAGAGATGAAGACTTAAATCAATTTACATAGTTAATACAACGAATATCATATTTTCTTAAACTTTTTTCACATAATTGAGGAATTTCGAGAAAAAAATACAATGTAATATACATTAAAATGAGCCAGTCTTATGGAATGAACAATTAAACACTTTGTAGTAGTTATTTACTAATGGACTTGGGGATGATATATCAGTTTTTATCTAGCATTTCATTGTCTGTAGATAATAGCAAAATTTAGGAACAATATCACCACCCGAGCTTGTTTCAGGAAAAACACGATAATCTTCAAGCATATTTGTAATTCTAGATTTGGAGTAAAAATGTTTGCTACTGCCACAAAGTATACATCTTAGAGAAGATAAGCATTAATAAAAATGGAATTTTATTGATACTCACTTAAGAAAAAAAATTAATATTGTAAAAGCTAATAAAAACGGAATTTAATTTATTAATTTAATAATGTTAACCTTTTTCCTTGTGTATATTGGTAAAAATACCATTTAAGTGGGAAGGAACAGGACAACTAATTAAATAGAATTTAATATTTCAAAAACTGTCTAATATTGTTATAAGTTTTTTTGGTGAAATAAGTTTTTTTAACAGTAAGAGGATTTTTTTGGATAAAGAATGTCTTTTTTCTGACCATGCTGACAGGTGTTGCTACGAGCTTATTCCATAACGTGAAACATGAGAAGTGATGAAACTATAGTACTCACATTTAAAGAGTTTTGTGGTTAGGGCAGTATTGCACCAGACCCCTCAAATGTATAGTATCTATGTGAAAAAAACAACTAAAACAAAAATAAGGAAATGATCAATTTAAAACTTCATGTTTTCACTTTTTCTGCTTTTAAAGTAATTAAGGATAAGTAAAATCACTTTACAATTTTGTTTTTAAGTATAACATCTAATAAAATATTTAAAAATATTATTTAAATCAAGTTAATCTGATCATAAGAAAAGCAGAAATACTCTTGAATAATCTCTACACGCGCCACAATTAATTCGCACAATCTTACTTTGAAAATGCGCGCCAAACGCAACAGCTGCGCTATCTGCACCAGGT